TTTACCCTAATCTATTCTATTTTAAGTTCGTGTTTTTTGGTTGACCGACATATACGTGAAGTTAACGTTGTTTTCCTACGTTTAGGCCCACTTAATTCAATTGAGTCTCGTTTAAGTTTGTTCACCCACACATACTCTGAGTTAGGCACGTATTTGCACTTTCATCCTCATGACAACTGATTAGGGTTTCAATATTGATATATTACGATATGATTAGTGGCTTTTTATTTATAAAGGCAAAGAGGGTTTTTGATACCGTGAAGCGTAGAAAGTTTTGTTTAAGAAATAGGATGTTACGGGTTTGATGGCCTTCTCTCAAGTGGCTCTATTGGTGGCTAGAAAACAGTCAAGCTAAATATTTAACTATCAGCAACAAGACTATCATTGCATGGTATTGAAAAGCAACGTTTGGGATATTGTCAACAAGATATTCTTAGAACTAGCAAAAACGAAATGCAGTTCATTATTTGATTCGTCATCAGAAATGTGGGAATATAGTTTCCTGGTTAGTTTTAAGCTGCCCTTTATCCATGCAATTCCTATAGACTTGATCCTTTTTTCTTCGCCTCCTATCTGTACGTTGCGTCTCCCGTTTCAGTGTAAGATTGCTCGTTTATCGTCAAGTAATTTAAAAACTCATGAGGTAATAATCTGTCCTGAGTTTTATGAATTAAAGGTTATTTAGAAAATAAGGGATTTGAAATTCAATTAATAACGCAGTTACGAAAAGAATTGATTAATTACTTTCTCCAGGGGAAAACGATACCGTATTCAGGTGTACTTCGCAGAAGTTTTGCTAAGAAATCTCGGGAAGGATGATGGGGTTCTTGACGATAACATAAATTCCACTTCGAGCACTCGTGTAGTTTGTTTGTTTAAGAGAGAAACACCCCTGATATCACGACAAAGTAAGGTTCTAAATAAAGTATTGCAAGGTTTTTTTATTACAGTTATCATTTCTGAGTGAAGGCACTGGAAGAAGGTTTGGACTGATCATCTCTCACAAAATTGGTCAACTAAAAGTGGGAGCACATAACAAAAACTATGTAACTAAGGGTGACTACTATAATGCGGAACTGTCCGGCCAGGACCTTTTTTTTCTTTTCTTTGTCTTTTGTTTTTTTTTTGTTTTGTTTTTATATCTGTATAAAGGAAATTTCGTCACTAATCAGAGCTGTATATCAGATCGATCATTTTCCGGGCGGTACCGTACGTTATGGTAAATATGGGTAAACAAGAAATGTTATAATTGAATCCTGGTGGTTGAGTCGTCCTTGCTAGGTTCCCTTGCAATTTATATCAGTTTGTTGCGATAGACGGTTTATGAGAAATAGTCTGATGTAATATACCAGATTACATTTGTCGGGATTATTTTAGTTTGACACTATAATTCCCTCTATTTGCCTATTTACTATACGTTCAACTTCAAATAAAATATATGCCTCGTCAATACCCACACACACACACACACACTTTTTATGGGAGCTGACATAAGGCAAGTAAATTTATTGACAAATTGAAATCACGATTAGCTTTCATAACGTCCCTAGCTGGTTTTTTCAGTTACCATGACGGGCTTAGCATGGGTTTCTAACGGAAACTTTTGTCGTGTCTTAGTTTGCATGCATTTAGCTGAGGTCAAAGATGATGAAGACCTGCCGCCAAATAGAAGTTTGATTTGCCATTGTTGAAGACATGCAAAATCAAGGATGCATGGATTCTGTATCCCTGATGCAATAGGGCGCTGTCCATGTGTCCGTCAAAGGCGGCAATGCACCAAAAGATGCAGATGTTTCAACTGCAGAAATAACGCCCGTACACCCGATGGCTGTAGGTGTGGTGTAGGAGAGAGAAACATCAGAAGTGCATGCACCGATGTGCCAGGCCAACGACGATCCAAATGCCCTTGCTATACTTCTGGTAGTTCGTGCTCAGCGGAAAAATGTAAATGCAAGGGCGGCAGGAACTCGTTTGGCAAAAGAACGGCGGGCAAGAAAGATGTAAAAAAAAAAAAGGTCCACCAAATGTACGTCCAGTCCTTCGCCATTGAAAAGGAAACGTACCATGGATTTCTTGAAGGAAAGCAACTCCTTCATTAGCCTGGGCTCCTAGACAAACATAGAAACATGCCTTTTGGACGCTGTAGAATCTTTCCTGCATTGTACTTGTTTTCTTCCTACTAAGGAAAATTTAACACATTTATATAATTATGTTGTCAACTCGCGCTTTGCTCGGCAGCTCCAATTATATGTTAGTGAAAAGACGAAAAAGCAAGTGGAGGGAAAGTTGAACTTTGAAAAAAATAAATGCATGGCAGCGCGTAATCTGGCTTATGGGGTTGACGCAATTAACCGTATGTAAAGTATAAAAATAACGGCGTTTTTTTTACGTCTATGGATTGTATTTGAATTCCGGCACATATTACGCTTTTATTGTGCAAACAATGTCAATATTGTCAGAGAATAAATGTCAATAAAAAATACCAGCGGGAAAAAAGAGTTCTTTCTCGTACACTGGATGCCCATCAACTACAAGTAATGATTTGATGAAAGTATTATATATTTAATCATAAAAATTACAATTACCTTGATTGTGATTGTTTCAAAAAATCCCCATTTTCCACTAAATCATTTGTTAGGTTGTTTTCAGACAGTTTGTTGTCGGAAAGCTGTCAATCACATTCAAATTTGTAGTTTAAATTAACCAATCACATTCAAAGTTATAGTTTGATTCAACCAATCACAACCTTGGTTTCGTTTGATGCAACTTTTCCCCTTCCTTTCATAATTAATAATTCTTTTCATTCTCGGAAATTGTAATTTGTATGACTTTGTGTCATCCAATATTCTGTCCGTAATCGCACTCGTGATACGCGATTGTCCGATTTTGTTATCACTCGTATAATTACCGACCGTATTGGACTACACTCAGTCCTATTACCATTACTACTCATAACTTTAACAAAATTCTGGAACACAATCAAGCACCGATAGGACAACGTACCCGTCATGTTTGTAATCTGAGGGTATAAGACGACAGTTGACACTTGCCTGTGTAAGTGTACAATGTGCGTCATGTGCGCGTGCTGTTGTCGTGTAAATATAACACAACAGCGCGCACACATGACACGCATTGTACACTTACACAGGCAAGTGTCAACTGTCGAGTTAACTGTTGTTTCCTTTTTGTACAAAAATGCATTAGTGATGTCTCTTTCTCAAATTCGTCATAGTTTTGACAAATTCGTGTCGTCCAATTCTGTCTCTAATCATACTCGTGATTAACAAGTCGTACTTCAGACCAACCTGATGAGTGCACAGTTCTATTTATTTTCCGTTGCGATGTCTACACATGTAGATATAGTTTTGCTTTGGAGTCAAGTCAAGTATACTGTAACAAAGGTTGCCATATCGATGTCATTACAATGATAATTAGCAGGACATAATAGACTCTTGTTGATGATAGTTAAATGTATAGCTTGACTGTTTTATAGCCACTTGAGAGAAGGCTGTCAAACCCGTAACACCCTATTTCTTAAACAAAACTTTCTACGGTTTGCAGTATCAAAAACCCTCTTTACCTTTGTAAATAAAAAGCCATTAATCCTATCGTAATATATCAATGTTGAAACCCTAATCAGTTGTCATGTGGGTGAAAGTGCAACAACGTGCCGTGTCGGAGTATGTGTGGGTGAACAAACTAAAACGAGATTCACTCTGGGTAGGTGGGCCTAGACGGATTATAACCGAGTTAAATTGACGTATATGTCGGTCCACAAGATAGCGCGAAGTTAAATTGGGGCAGATGAGGGTAAAGGTGGTTAAACATAGCTAACTTGATGGGTGGATGTAGGTTAACGTGTTAGAAAATGGTTAACGTAGGGTAGATGTGGGTCAACGTGGTAGAACGTGGCTAACTCATAGTAGATAACGAGGTTGAACATGGCTAACTTATGGTAGATGTGGGTTAACTTGGTAGAACACGGCTAACTAAGGGTAGATGTGGGTGAACGTGGTAAAACATGCTAAACTTAGGGTAGATGAGGGTTAACGAGGTAGAACATGGCTAACTTAGGGTAGATGTGGATGAACGTGGTAAAACATGCTTAACAAAAGGTAAATGTCGGTCAACGTGGTAGAACATGGCTAACCTAGGGTAGATGTGGGTTAACGAGGTACAACATGCCTAACAAAGGGTAGATGTGGGTTAACGTGGTAGAACATGATTAACTTAGGGTAGATGTGGGTTAACGTGGTAGAACATGGTTAACTAAGGGTAGATGTGGGTTAACGTGGTAGAACATCGCTAATTTAGGGTAGATGTGGGTTAACGAGGTTCAACATGCCTAACAAAGGGTAGATGTGGGTTAACGTGGTAGAACATGGTTAACTTAGGGTAGATGCGGGTTAACGTGGTAGAACATGGTTAACTCAGGGTAGATGCGGGTTAACGAGGTATTACATGCCTAACAAAGGGTAGATGTGGGTTAACGTGGTCGAACATGGTTAACTTAGGGTAGATGCGGGTTAACGTGGTAGAACATGGTTAACTTCAGGTAGATGTGGGTTAACGTGATAGAACATGGCTAAGTTAGGGTAGATGTGGGTTAACGTGGTAGAACATAGAAAACTTAGGGTAGATGTGGGTTAATGTGGTAGAACATGGTTAACTTAGGGTAGATGCGGGTTAACGTGGTAGAACATGGTTAACTAAGGGTAGATGTGGGTTAACGTGGTAGAACATGGTTAACTTAGGGTAGATGCAGGTTAACGTGGTAGAACATGGCTAAGTTAGGGTAGATGTGGGTTAACGTGGTAGAACATAGAAAACTTAGGGTAGATGTGGGTTAACGTGGTAGAACATCAGATCTTGGGGGTCAAAGTCAGAGTTAATTGTGACCCTAATATTTGATTCAGGGGTGATATTCAAAGGAGGTTTAGATACTAGTTACTTTTAGAAGTGAAAGGGTCACATAAGTACAGAGGTACAGAGATATCAATATGGCGGACGGTCACGTTTTTAGAGCTCTTAGATGCTGGATCATTCTGCTTTATTTCTACGTTTGTTTCTCTGGTGCACTCCTTCCCAAGGCTAATCCTGACCTCGATATATCTGGTGATACTCTTCTCTTCATTTCTCACGGTCTGACGACAGTGAGAATTCAACCTTTTAACCATCGGTCACCGAGCTCGCAACATGCAAAGAATCTCCAGTTGCCGAATTCAAGACTTCTACTCCTTGGATGCCGTTTTGCGATTAATTCCTCTCTTTCCTTACTACTCATTCGTCTCGCAAATGATGTTGAACTTCAACCTGGTCCTGTTGGCTCCTCTAGTTCACATGACATCCTGTCTGATCTTCGGGATTTGTCAACGAAAAATGGGCTTACAATTATTCATCAAAATATCAGAGGCCTCGTGGCGAACAGGGATAGTCTATGCCAAATGATCGATGATTCCAAGCATATAGACATCATATCCCTCAGTGAGACTCATCTATCGGACAGTGAAGAGGCTCAAGTTCAACTGGATGGCTATACGTTCATTAATAGACCAAGGAAAACAGGCAAAGGTGGAGGTGTGGGAGTTTATATCTCCTCTTCTGTCCCCTTTCATAGAAGACTAGACCTGGAACGCGATGGGATCGAATGTATCTGGATAGAAATTTTATTTCCAAAATCTAAGGGTATCCTTATTGGTTTTATTTATCGCCCCCGAGTTCTTCAAAGCATCTTTGTGCAGATTTTGAAAATAAACTGGAGTCGATGTTTTCTGCTGTATCATCTGAAAACAAAGAATGCATTTTGACAGGCGATATCAACTGCAACTATTTGGTAAGCTCAGACAACAAAGAACTGAAGGCAATGCTATTGTCTTTTGGCCTTAAACAGCTAATCAAGGATCCCACGAGGGTAACGCAAGATTCAAAAACACTGATAGATGTGATTTACACAAATCGCCCTCAGAATGTTTATAGTGTTAAAGTCATTCCCGCCGGCTTAAGTGACCATGATATGATTGGTTGTGTCCGGAAGCTGCATAACCATAAATTCCAGCCAAGAACCATCACCTGTCGAAACTATGCTAATTATGATCCTATATCCTTTTGCAATGATTTACGGTCCAATAGTTTCACACCTGTCTTTAAATCCTCCTGCGTTAATGAAGCATGGTGGTTTTTTTGAAAGCCATTCTGAAAGAATGTATTGATAAGCATGCGCCAGCTATAAAGAAGAGGATCAAAGGGAAACTCAGCCCATGGCTTACACAGAAGTAAAGCAAGAAATGAATACCAAAGATCAGCTTTTGAGAAAAGCGAGAAAGACAAATCGTGAAATTGACTGGTCTTCGTACAAGCGCCAACGAAACAAAGTTAACGGTATGGTAAAAATTGCAAAAGCAGGTATCACCGTGAACTCTTAGAGGAGACTGTGGGTTCACCTAACAAATTTTGGTCAGCTATTAAAAACTATACCCTACAAAGTCTACAAAGGAACCAGGAGCAGCTTTTCTCGTTAATGAAGCAGTAGAAACCGACAAAGAGGTTATTGCAAATTTGTTCTGCAAATTCTTCACTGATGTTGCGCGATCTCTAAAAGAAAGATCTTCCCTCTTTTGCAATTTTGTCTGGAAAAGGCCCTTACAATAGACACCCAGCAGCCGCTAGAGAACTTTGAGTTTAGATCAGTCTCGGAAAAGGTTGTCTTTAATGCATTAAAGAGCCTTAAGAGAAATAAGTCCTCTGGCCTTGACAACTTTCCTTCTGGAATGTTAAAGGACTCTGCTGATATAATAGCCAAGCCTCTCACGCATATAATTAACCTGTCTCTCGCAACAGGGTCTGTACCTACTGACTGGAAAGCGGCTAAAATTGTACCACTTTTTAAATCTGGTTCAATGGCCGAAATCGACAATTATAGGCCTATTTCAATACTTCCCTCAATGTCAAAGATCCTGGAGAAAGTGGTATTTAAGCAGCTGATGGCTCATTTTGAACAGAATGGTCTACTTTCTCATTTTCAGTACGGCTTCCGTCGCATGCGCTCTACTGAACTGGCCGTTACTCATCTTACCGATGTTATCAGAAGAGAAGGTGAGAATGGTAACCTGACAGGCTGTGTTTTCATCGATCTATCCAAGGCGTTTGACACCATCAGTCACTCTGGCCTCCTGAGCAAGCTTTCAACTTACGGAGTTCGTGGAACAGAACTCGCATGGTTCACTGATTACCTTTTCTGCAGATCACAAGTTGTCCAATATAAAGGCGTGCTATCAGAACCTCAACCCATTCTCACAGGTGTTCCTCAGGGAAGTATCCTGGGTCCTATCTTATTCATTATCTTTTTCAACGATGTACATAAACCGCTTCAACACTCGAAGATTATCACTTATGCCGACGATTCAGTCATCTATACCTCTTCTAAAGATATTGATACTATACAGAGAAGCCTTAGCGAGGATATGAATAACCTGTGCGAGTGGTTTAAAGACAACGAACTGATCATTAACCTAAAAAGGACAAGACGGAGTCTATGTTATTTGGAACAGCTAAAAGAATCAACCTTCAAGACAAGGAACTTAAACTTTCTGCTAATGGGTCACTCATCAATAATACCTCTACCTATAAGTACTTAGGTGTTCACCTTGACTCATCACTAAACCTCGCATCACATTTTGACCGAATCTATAAAAAGCTGCAACCAGAATCAATCTCTTGCGATCAATTCGTCCTTTGATCGACCAAAAGTGTGCAGAATCGATCTATAACACTATGATCGCACCTATCTTTACCTATTGCGGAACACTTGGTCTTAGCTTTCCGGATTACCGAAAGGAAATGATAAAGAACATCGAACGACGAGGCTTTAAAGTTATCGGCAATAGTTCTTTTAATCCCCATCCGTGAACAATTTGATCAAGCGTAAAAGCTGTCTGTTTGTTTTCGACTGTCTCCTGAATAATGTTTGCACACCCTTTAAGAACTACTTCGAAAGGCTGGTTCATTCTAAGGCCACTAGGAATAACGGTATATCAGTGAAATTACCCAAAGTTCGTTTAGAATTTGTAAAAAGAGCTTCTATTACCAAGGAGCAAAGACTTTCAACAACCTGCCTGCTGAACTAAGGTCGTTAGATTCGAGACTGAAATTTAAGAACAAATTGCGAGATTATTTTAGTTAAATTCTATCTAAACGTGGTTATAGGTATCCTTTTCAGAGTATTTTTATTTTTTTTTTAATTTTATTGTATGCTTTTCTAGACCTTAAGATCAATGATTATATCTTGTTAAATTTTATTTTATTTATTTATTTATTATTTTTGACAGGACCCCAAGGACAACAGTGTTACACACTGATGGGTTTCAATCCTGTATAAAAATTCGTTATTATTATTATTATTATTATTATTATTATTATTATGGTTAACTTGGGGTAGATGCGGGTTAACGTGGTAGAACATGGTTAACTAAGGGTAGATGTGGGTTAACGTGGTAGAACATGGTTAATTTAGGGTAGATGTGGGTTAACGTGGTAGAACATGGTTAACTTAGGGTAGATATGGGTTAACGTGGTAGAACATGGTTAACTTAGGGTAGATGTGGGTTAACGTGGTAGAACATGGCTAACTTAGGGTAGATGCGGGTTAACGTGGTAGAACATGGTTAACTTAGGGTAGATGTGGGTTAACGTGGTAGAAGATGGTTAACTAAGGGTAGATGTGGGTTAACGTGGTAGAACATGGTTAACTAAGGGTAGATGTGGGTTAACGTGGTAGAACATGGTTAACTTAGGGTAGATGTGGGTTAACGTGGTAGAACATGGTTAACTTTAGGTAGATGTGGGTTAACATGATAGAACATGGCTAAGTTAGGGTAGATGTGGGTTAACGTGGTAGAACATGACTAACTTAGGGTAGATGTGGGTTAACGTGGTAGAAAATGGCTAACTAGGACATATTGTAAGTTTTACAGGAACCTTAAAGCATATATTGTCAGCCATTTTGTCGTCTATATGGCATTCAGCCATGGCGTATATACCGAATTCGAGAAAAAGAAATTCATCTCATAAAAAGAATATATCCCAACATGCATCTCGACCGAGTTCTCAAAGAGGGACTGGGGTCGGCTTAGTAAACGAAGAGGTTAAGGATCCGCTAAATTCTGTAAACCCTCGCAGTCATTTTCAATCTCTTAAAGCAGTGAGCACAGCACACATCTTGGTGAACATGAGCAATTCATCGTCTCAGTTAAAGCGAGGTAATCCTCTACATGATGGCGGAATTAATGGAGTAGATGAAGAACGCCCTCAAGCTCTGAAGAATTTCGTAAAAGCGAAGAAGAAGATAAACGCTATATTCGCAAACTTCATAATGTGTCTTGAATATTTTATAAACATCTTAAATGGTCTCAGTGATAAAAATGACATCAAGAAAGACTCAAGCGAGGTAAGATTGTCGAATGTCGCAGTCTGCAAGTCTGCAGTCTTCAGTCTGTATTTTACCCCTGGTCTGCAGTCTTCAGTCTGTTTTTTACCCCTGGTCTGCAGTCTTCAGTCTGTATTGTACCCCTGGTCAGCAGTCTTCACTTTACCCCTGGTCTGCAGTCTTCAGTCTGTATTTTACCCCTGGTCTGCAGTCTTCAGTCTGTATTTTACCCCTGGTCTGCAGTCTTCAGTCTGTATTTTACCCTTGGTCTACAGTCTTCAGTCTGTATTTTACCCCTGGTCTGCAGTCTTCAGTCTGTATTTTACCCTTGGTCTACAGTCTTCAGTCTGTATTTTACCCCCTGGTCAGCAGTCTTCAGTCTGTATTTTACCCCTGGTCTGCAGTCTGCGTTTTACACTGATAGACACAATAAGATTAGATCATGTAGTTCTGTTCTTTACCTGCTTATCAGTATGTTAGATGCACTTTCTGTAGATTGATGCCAGCTTTTTGTTTTCCCTGATTATTTTTCCCAATTTACACAAGACATGGTCAAGACACCAATTTTGCAATCTTGGTAATGGGCACTTAATGGTGCATCTCACTCTGTACACACTCCAGGTACCTGTACTGTCACTGTCAATTTTTTTAATGTAATTAATTCTTATTAGGTCACAACTGATTGTTGCATTTCTCTCTCACAGGTGTCAGGCTTTCTGGCTCAGGTTTCAAGCATCTCAGAGATACTAAGAAGGAATCAGATAAAGGTGGCATTCTTTGGACGAACCAGCAATGGAAAGAGCACCACAATAAATGCCATGCTTCAAGATAAGATCTTACCAATGGGAATGGGCCATACTACCAATTGTTTTCTCAGTGTACATGGTTTAGATACACCAGATCCATATATCTTGGTTCCAGGGAGTGATGACAAAAAGAATGTGAAGGTATGTCTTCTTAAAAAGTATCGTAAGCTTCTCCTTTGCAATAATTATATGTACTGCATTTTCTTGATTGAAAATTGTTGCAAGTTTCCTTTGTAATAATTATATGTACCACATTTTCTTGATTTAAAATTGTCAAAGTTTCCTTTGTAATAATTATATGTACCATATTTTCTTGATTGAGCAATCAGTATAGTTATTTCAAACTTTGCCAAGTGTACCTGGTGTTGAAAAGCATCAGGATGGTGTTTTAATCTGGGTTTGGTGTGTCAACTTTTCATAATATCCATTTTTCAAGATTGACAGGTATTTGGTTAAGAAAACATGATTTTTCTCTGTCAAACTGTCACGTAGTCTTAACAAAGATATATATTTTTCTTGCAAACATTTCATGTATAAAATTTGATTTATGAATAAATTGTATTTTAATTTGTAGCCTGACAGCAGATCATCACTAACTATAGTGGCCACGCGCCCACATAGCATGAGCAGTTTTTTAGAAATGTAACTCTAAAAATGGTGTCAAATTTTACAAAGAAATGTATGAAGAGATTTTTAATACTTTGACAAAGTTGGTTAAAAATTACAGATTGAAAATTTGCCGGAGCGGGATGCCATTATAATGACTGCTATCTGTGTACTGCTGTAAATAATAAGACTTAAGGTAAAAAAAAAAAAACTTCATTTTTCCTTTGCTTTGTATCGAGGTGAGCAACCATTTAAGCATTTATAGCTGGCAAAGAAAAGCTGAAAAGCCTAAAATTAGAGACAGATACCAGTGTTCCTGTGCTTGGTACTTCACTTGCCAGAGTGGAGACCTATAGTTGACTCCATTGTTAACCCTACCCTAAAATTTGAAGTCTACAGAGAAAAGTTTGATCCATCCTTTTCCCTTGTAAAGAATGCAAAAAATTCTGAGCCTTGCAAGAAAGAAAAACAAGCTTCCACCTGCAATATCAACTTCCTTCCCGAGATCTGGCACTCGTTCAGAGCTCAATTTTTCCAGAGCAACTTTGCAAGGTATGCCATGTTTGGTATCAAAATTTTCAATGTGATTTCGGCTTTTTAAAGCTCCTAGTCTTTCTGGGATAGGTGTTACAGCACGCTTTTAGCCAGTAGGTAAACGTGTGAGCAAGTTTGCGCAGTGGATTTCGGGCTAAAAATTGAAAAGTAAAAAATTTATAATAATAGTTTTTGTTTGTATTGCATGGGCTAGTATTTCTGAGACCTCTGAAATGTCTGATTTATTCCACAAATCTGCTTTATCACAGTTTAAGGAGTCTGAGAGTGTTTCCATCAATGATAGTTCAACATAATTATGTAAAATATCAGTATGTTAGCAGCAAAGAAGTGGTCTTTAAAGTTGCATTCACATGCAATTGTCTAAAAAGCTGGTACAATTTCAAGAAAAATAATGCACTGGCGATCAGCTGTGTAGAAATTCTAAATGCATTTTTAGAGGAAAAATATGGATTGAAGCTAAAATTTCAAAATGTAAACAGAAAATTCATTTTTTAAAGTTATTTCTTTCTTTGAAGGTCTGTTAATACTCACATTGTAAAACTTTTGCCAGTACATTATTCTTTATGCATTGTGTGTTGAAGGGTAAGTTTTCGGCCTCTTCTGAGGCGTATCATTTAAAATTTCAAAATGTTAACAGAAAATTCATATCAAGTTATTATTTTCTTTTAAGGGCTGTTAATACTCACATTGCAAACCTTCCACCAGCACATTATTCTTTACACATTGTTTGTTGAAGAGTAAGTTTTCAGCCTCTTCTGAGGTATATTGTACAACACCACAGATGATAATCTTTGGAGTTGTATGTAATCAATTTCCTCGACACTTCTCTTTCTACACACAACCACCATGTTAGATTCACAGGAAGCACCGCTGAGGCTGTGTGGATTCGTCATAACCAAAATTGTTGGCGATGAAAGGCCTAAACCTTGATCAATTACTCATACTGTTTAATTCTAAACTAGAAGCATTTCTCTGGTGTTTATATGGTTTTAACAATTAATTTCGGTTTGACTTTTAATTTAGAAAATATCACTGGTACTTAAATTATCTTAAAGCAGAAATAGATTAAATAATACTCCAATTGATAAATGCCCTGTATAAGTTAATGAACTGTTAATAATCATGATAATCACATACTTTTCTCTTTTGGTATCGAAACAGTCATTATGTCAACTTGCCCATGCCTTGTCCGAAGAAAAGCTTGATCCTAGCAGTCTTGTTCAAGTGTTCTGGCCAAAGTCCAGGTTTGATTTTGTTTTGTAATTATTATATCATTCACATGTACTTACAGGTAACTGTTGTCGTGTCAATCAAAGTGTATTTACAGTTCAACCTTGTAAACTTTATTCATTAGTTGTAAAAGTAGAGTGTAGTGCCCCTTGTTGTACTTGAATTGTTCTTGTCCAAGTTTATTCCAAAGAGGTTAAGTTTATCGACATTTTTTGCCTTCAGATTAATTCTGTTATTATGCATTAGACTTATAATAAAATATCTGATTGGTCCAGAGCATTCAATCAATATACAAAAGCAGAGGAAGTTGACATAATAACCCAATATCTGCAGCAGACATTGCATTTATCATTTGGAGTTCAAATTCTGCCTAGTTTCCAAACCCTTTCTTGATGAAGTGTTCTCAAACTTGTCTCCTTTTCCAGATTGATTTTAGAAAATGTCTAATAAAACAATTACTGAATTCAGTTTTTACATGATATCGTGAATTATTAGGTACTGGTCTTGCTAAGAGTGGTCTTCTCAACTTCCTGTCAGAAAAAGTTTTCTTTTATTTTTGCCCATGAAAAGGGTTTAGGACACATGTTTCAAAAAAAAGTTTAGTTGTTCTCCAACTCTCTCTTTTTGCATCACCACAAGCCAAAAATGATTTTTGGCTGGTGGAAAAATTTTGCACAATCACATCAAGCAATTTGATGGTCGTAGGAAAGTTTCAGTTTGTTGCTTAAAACCATTGTGGTCCATAACAGCGTAACATCATTAATGATGGAAACAACTTTGCAGAAAGGAGGGCTAGTTCATCATGTTCCTTGTGCTAAATCTCAGGAGACAATATAAGAATTCGGAGTGTAGGTGTGTTGTTTTGTAAATAACACTGTGATGTATTTTGACTTGTTGGTGCCCTTTTAAGCAATGCAATATGTCTTTAATGACCACAGTGCCAAATTTTATTCTTTAATGTTGATCTTCTCCACACTGTGCGTAGTTCATGACCTGATATTTCAATGAAAATTATTGAGAAGACGCCTTCGGTCACCTTTTGTTTATTTTGAAAGTCATGCCAGCATGCAAATGTTACAACTGATCACATTTATGCAATGTTTTAGGATGCCATCTATTCTCTATTCTCCATTTAGAAAACCTAAAATCTTTGACATAGAAGATAAATGATCAAAGTTTGAATGGTCGAGAAGAGATCTTTATCAATTTTCAGAATTATGCAAATGATCTTTGACACGAGCACAATTGAGCAAGCAAATGGACTTGTGTTGTTTTGTAAGATTTATTTTTATTTATTTAGCTTTGCCTAATTATCTAAGGCAGGGAGACCATGACAGCTTTAGCCAATTACAGTGGATCCTGTATTAACAATGACTAGGCCAGACCCTCCCCAGCAATCTCGTGGGTGGGTTCTTTAATGTCCCCTGCCTAACCAAATTGACTAATTTGGTTAGGCAGGGGACAACGATGGGAAGTCAAGAGGACTGCCTTAGAAAAAGTAGTACTTAAACCTTGTGTCTTTGTAATCTGCCTCAGCCTTTGGTTTTGGCAGATAACTCGGAACTCGGTTGTGATAATTCAAGTTATCATGCTCAACTTCCTCAGTAATTGTTTAATATACATACAGTTAGGTATAAAGCTGTGTCATTGGTTTTTCAAGGAGTGTCTTATAAACAAAGGAAATGTACTTCTAGTGTTGGAAAGCTCTTGGATAGGCCGCCTCTTGTGCCTTTAAAAGATATAATACTTTCCAAACATGGTACACATCAGATCAGAGGGTTTGTATCATTACAATAAAGCTCTACCTGTACATTGTTATCACTTGTGAAGCTTTCATTTTTGTAAAAAATGTATTTTTTTTTAACCTCAGTTGTAAAATGTTTTCAGAGGATGTTGTTTTGGTGGATAGGTAAGCAATTTAAAAGTGATGAAATGTACGGTATAATTAACTTTGGAACCCTAAGAATTGAATTTGTCCTTACAATTTCACCCCTGAATTACACATTAAGATCACAAGAATAAAAGATATGATCACTAACTGATGAAGCTCTGGACTGTTTAGCAAATTGTATTTGTCTACATCTTAGGGAATGTATAGAGGACTAATGTTAGGGTGTGAAGGTTTAAGAAGAACAAAAAGACAGAAAAACAAGAAAACACTGAAAACAATAGGTTAATTAGGCATTGCTCTATTGTGACATATCCTGTGTCTTCTACATGAAGAAGAAGCCTAAAATTGCTATATAAATAGTCACAGACAACTGTTATTTTAGTCCTGGTATAGATGTGAGCAATGATCTTAATGAGTGGATAGATAAGCACTGTTTGGATGCTGATGTGTTTGTCCTGGTTGCTAATGCTGAGTCAACGCTTACAGTTTGCGGTATGTTCATGACCATTCATGTGCTATGTGTAGATTTAAGATACACCACATACAAACTTATAATTTGATGGAAGTTTTTTAAAAATTCAGTTGCTTTAAAATGTGACTTATTACAGGAGAAATTTATCCAGTGTGGTAGCATTCATTGACTGAACCTTCCCATGCTTGTGTGGTTTCTCATTTGGTACCCTTGTCATTTGCAGGAGAAAAGCTTTTTTCACAAAGTGAATCAGCGTTTTTCAAGACCAAACATCTTCATTCTATATAACAGATGGGACGCATCTGCATCAGAACCCGACACAATGAAGCTGGTAAGTAAGCACTTATTTTTTCCTTGATACCCATTCAAATTTGAAATCAAAAGATGTCAAAAATGGAATTAAAACACAGCATTGGAGTTGCCTTTTATCTCAGATGCTCTCTTCATAGGAAATTGTTGCTTGAAAAAAAAAAAGGTATAGATAGATTCCTGGTGGAGAGGGGTGAGGGGTGAGGGGTGAGGGGTGAGGGGTGAGGGGTGCTTAGATAGAGGGGAAGGATTCAGGATTCAGGATTTAGGTATAATGATGGGTGGGACAACAAACCATTTATCCCACTTCCCCCTGGACAACAACCCCTTCCCTTCCCCCCCCACTTTTAGATGATGGTAATAAAGTGTGATTTTTTAAAGTTTTTACCTGTTTCCTTAAGGTGAAAGATCAGCATCTCAGTAGAAGCATCAGTTTCCTTGCCGATGAGCTCAAGTGTGTAGACAAAGGACAGGCAGAACAGAGTGTTTTTTTGTCTCAGCTAAAGAGGTAAGCTGCTGGATTTTATGTATCAGGGTTTATAAGGACCAATTGCAAATAACTTTGAACAAGTCTTCAAGTTTTTGTTACAATTATCAAAGAGAAATATAACACAGGACACACTTCTTAGTTTGTTTATTTATTTTTCCCACTTTCTTTTCCTGTTTCTGTTTTACCCAGACGTTAAATACCAGAATGCTGGAACACCAAGGAATGCCTAAAGGAGGTATGTGGCTGAACAAGAAGTGCATTCTCTTGAAACAGCATAAACACAAACTGTCAACAAGTAAGATTTTAAATTTAAATAGAGTAACTAGCATTGCCTTGTTGTTTTTCAGATGGTGCCATTCATTTTGGGGGATTTGATGAACGACAGTTGGAGTTTGAGAACTTTGAACACAAATTTGAGGTATTGTAGCTGCTGTTCAGGCTTACAGTACCGCTCGCGTATACAATAACTACGTAGATGAATTTCATACGTTCAGACCCAGGGTAGTCAGACACGTATATGCGCAGTCCCAATCCTCTTGTCTGTCGGTAGATTCCCCTATGAACCAAAAGGTGGCAAAAATATTTTGATGATTGCAATGTGGAATTTAATGGCATTGTTATTCAAGGAGTATAGAACTACTAATGGTAACTTCACATATAGCTCTATAGGGGTTTTCCATAAAAGCTAGTCACAGGTGGTTTACTGCCGCCTTAAAGACCTTTAACTGTTATCTGTTTAGCATGGAAAGGGGCCTTCTGACCCTTTTCTCTGGGAACTGTCACTTTAAACACCATTGGCAGCTGCTTATGGAAAAGGTTATTGAGACCCCTGGGTCTGTTGTGTGTTAAATCATTGGTAAGAGCTAATGAAAGATTGCTACCACAGAGTCACGATGTTTATGTAAATTAATGTACCTTTTTCCATTTAAAGTTAAACACATTTGCTTGTCTAGAGTTTGTGTTAATTAATTGTTCTGACTTTGCAATAGAGGCTTTACATGCTTGATTTTATAGGAGTGTATTTCTAAGTCAGCATATACAAACCAAGTTTGAATCTCATGCACTCAGTGGGTTGAAAATTGCAAACATGGTAGAGGTTCGTATGCAAAAAATAGTGGATTCTGCATCTCAGCAAAGGTGAGAAAGAGACAGATAAATTTCCTATTTTGCCTCTCAATAGTGATTTCAGTGATTTGTTGGTTTTGCTGAGTTCATATGGTCTATTTTACTCAGATCTAAGCTGGAGAAAACCAAGATGGAGGAAAAGAATAGACTGGAATATGTGAAGGAACAGCTTATAAGCTGTAAACATGACTTCAAATGCCGGATCGAGGAAATCACTTCTGAAGTTGAGGTTCAGGTAATAAAATAACTACTCAAATGCTCTTTTGGAGGCATAAGTTTAATACTTGTTGTTTATTTAGTCTCGAATCACGGTAATTTCAAGTTTTTCACAGTGTAAGGTTCCAAAACAGATCAAAAAGTGTCATCAATTGGATGACTTTTTTTGGCATGCTTCTCAAGTGCACGTCAGGTGCCTTTGATATGCATATCAAATTTACTTTGAAGTGAGTGGTAAAAACTTATCAAGAGTTTGCCTTTATTTTACTCCTGTAGTACCTGAGTACACACAGATATTTACCTAATTTGTAATAAGTATGATGACTTACAGTTGTAAGGGTGAACACAAGTCGGTACAAAATCTTACAGAACCAAACTGTCAGAGCTTTTCCCAATTTCCACACCCAGAGTATGGCTACTCCCCCCCTGAAATGGGAAGCCAGTCCATCCCATGCTACCTGTCCCCCACCCTGACAGCATTTCTTCTTTTTTTTTCCCCATCCCTTGTTTGTATCCATTTTTACTCTTAAAGCCTTTCCGCAGCAGCGAACAAAACTAGAATTGTCCCGGAAAAAATCAAAGCTCAAATTATTTCAAGCGCCTCATCTGTTCATAAGAGCGGCCCGCATAGTTGCCAAAGGATTCCACCTCCAATTTCCTGGATTTACCACAGTTTTGTTTATGTGGTCGATTTTGTCCAGTTTTTACTTGGGACAAATTTTCAGTCGCAACAGTCCATCCGCACTTGTGAAATGTTGGTGATGACCGAAAATTTCTCTAAATAGAGAGAGACTGTCAGAGTTAGGTGCCTTGTTCAAGAAGACGACACATTGACCCACCCGGTGCTCAAACCTTTGTGTCGCACATCGTCCTGTGTGTTAATTCTTATTAACTCAAAGCTCAGTGAGAAAGTCTGATGTAGCTTACTCAACAAAATGTTTTACTTTCTTTAGGTGAAAGCGGCTATGACAGAAGAGATTGATGGATTGGCCTTGCTGGTGAATGAGTTTGATCCTCCATTCCTTACTGATACTGCGTCGCTTAAGACATACAAAGAGGTGAAAATTAATTGTATAGACAATTTCACGAGCAACAACTGCAATAGAAGAAGTATTTGAAATTTAACTCTATATCGCTGATTATGTCAACAGGAACTGTGCAATCACCTCAAGAGTTGCTTGGAAAGAAATATGACGGATCATTGTTCAAATTTTAAAACTCAAGTGATTTGTGGGGCACAAGAAGAAATGAAAGGTCAGTGTTCAGGAACTACCCTATGTTACATGAATGATGAGTGAATATGAATGTGTATGTAAGCAACAAAAAAAATCAATCAATCACGTTGCACCAATCAGAAGTGGCATTTTTGGGCAAACAGATTATTCAAAAGCCAGGATTCGCTTGCGAGCCTTCCTTCCTCTCCACCCCACCTCACCCCCATTATACGACCCTTTTACTCTCATCCCGCCACATATCGCGCGGTTAGGATATTAAATAGTTCTTCTTTCGTTCAGGAACGCTTGTTACGGAGGATATACACCAGGGTAGCAAAATAACTGAGGAAGAGTAATAACTAGTGGTACATCACGAAGTCACTCACGTGGTAGGGGGAAAAAAAGGGGGGGGTGGAAAGAAGCCAACATTAAAGAGACATGAGTCCATAGGGACTAGTTATTAATTTTGGTGGGGGAGGATTTAGGGATCACGTTGTTTTCAGGGAGGGAAAGGAGTGGGGTCAGTCGTCACCGACAGAGTGAAAAGTGGGACTGTAGAAAATTGACTGCCAAAATCAATTTACTACCAACCGGGGGGGGGGGGGAATAATAAGAATATTTCACGGTCTTATGAGGAGATCTGGTAAATTTTATCTTGATAAGACCGGCATCCTCCAAACCCCACCCCTCTCCCTCCCCCTGGGTGATGACAAATGACTATATTGCCTTTTTTCCCAGATCGCCTTCGTAGTCTTCTTCCGCCTGAAACACCAGAGGTATCTTATGAGCTCAGCACTCCAGTGTGAGTATTGTGTTCCATAACCCATTAACCCTTATCATCGGTATGCATATTCTCCATACTGTTCTCTACACATTTCCTAAGGTGCTGACAAGGAGAATTTGTGAAGCAATCAGGAGCTTCTTTAGTTGGCGTTCATCTCCTTAGTGCACGTGACCTGAATGTGTGAGTCTGGGGTGATATTGTAAGGAGAAATTAGATGCCGGTCAAAGGTTAAAGATCTACTGACTCGGTGTAGTAAGACATCAAGACTAATGGCTTTAAGAGACCAGGAAGCAGACACCCAAGAGGGGAAACGAGTAAATATCCGTTTTTCTTGTTACTAATTTCTTTATCATATTTATTTTTTGTAGTCTTGATTTCCAAGCGAACTACCCACTGGCTGTGTCCAGACTGTTAACTGGTTTTCATGAAGATATCAAGTTTCACTTCTCTCTTGACTGGCGGGCGATTTCCGGAAACTTGGGATGTATTCCTACTTTGCTAGCCATCGCTTTGGGAGTGAATGTAAGAACACTTCTTTAATAATGGAATAAGAAACGATGGAAAAATTACTCTAGTCAGAGAAGAGTTAAGGTCGAAGGAGCACATGAAGAGCGTTAACAATTTTGTAATGACTTTCGAAAGGAAGCCGTTTAGTGTAATTCTATTTCAAACGAGGGAAATGGCTTAAAGCCATTTCTGAGTTGTTGTTTTGATCCACAATTAACTCCTCTGCCCATCTAACCAGTTGCACTGAGGTTGGATGGATATGTCGCCTCTCGATAATTTATTTTCGAACTGTGGGGCCCATGGCAACTGCCAGGGCTAGCTTCACTAACGATGCCCGCTGCTACGCAGGTAGTCCTAGTTGGAGGACTGGTAAGGGTTAAAATATTTATTGATTAAGAGAACCTCAGGCATAAAGCTCAGCCGTCAAACGTCGGGCATGCGCGAGGGGTCAATAGAAATCTGCTAAAGGAAACAAAAAGCAGGGAAAGGAAAGCGTGAGACTTTCCTAACCCTAAGCTATTTCAAGTCCTGGGCCCAGTTTTTTCGAAAGCCGATTAGCGCTAACCCAGAGTTAAATTTTAATCTGGGTTTCTATACTTCTTTGTTCGATAGCCTTTTTGGGATCATTTTCCTCTACTCTATATGGAGCATCTAATCATCAAATTGTTGACAAAAGAATTCTACTGAATTTTCCTTTAAAGCTTCCAGAGCTGAAATCCGATTTCACACTAACCCTGGGTTATCTAAACCCAGCTTTGAACAACTCAGCCCTGGTGTCCAGTTGATTTACCGAACTGTTTTGAGCTTTACCGAAAGAAAGTGCTTCTGAAACACCATAACTTAGGGCCTGTTTGGGGGACCCTAGGAAGGTGAGGTAACCCGCCTTGGTGGTTAACCCGCCTTCCCATATAATTTCTTACTTTATTTTGATCACGTTTACATGATAGGTGGGGTGACCCGCCTAAGCGGGCTGCCCGGTCTGCCAGGTAGGGTAACCCTGGCAGCCGGGGTGACAATTTGCCATGTAAACGTGTCAAGGTGGGGTAACCCGTCTAGCCGGGGTCGCGGTTCATGGCAAAAAGCTCAAACGCGAAACATGTATGTTTTAAAACTTTGTACATTTCCTAGCCGTCTAATGGCGGAAATCACCAGAAACCGCAACGGACAGACAAGGAGTGTAAAATGTTCACATTTCGGAATATTTAGCGTTGTAAATCGACTATATTTGGTTTCCCAAACTAACGTATAGAGTCAACGGTTTCTCGCGAAACCAAACACCGCGTAACACAACGCGTGACGTTTTCATGAATAAATACACATGTGTCCGAGAATTAATCTTTCGTCTTTTTCGAGATGTGAGCTTGGGACGCCTCTGCTCAAACTCCTCAATTGGAAGCGCAACAACAATCTTAAGAAACCTCACCCCAGCACCCCGGGGTTGTAAGATTGCATGTAAACGCGTTTTATTTTTCGACCACGGCTAGGCGGGTTACCTTACCTACCAGGGGTTCCCCACCTCCATGTAAACGGGCCCTTACTAGCTTGTGTGGTTGTTGGTAACTCGTGTGAGACAACCTGTATTTGGCAGCCTCAAAGCGCACCACACAGTTATTACTCAACATTCACACATGCGTATACGTTAGACCGCTGTACAGACATGGTCGCATCTAAAAAATGTGCCTTAAGTTTCAACGCAACATTATAGTTGTATGTATGCTTATACGAAGCGTCCATTCCAATTTGTGTTTCTCCAATCGCAGATTTTAGGATGGAAGTTCATAGCTTTGTGTGGAGTGTTATTCACTTTAATGTATACATGGCAGTGGGTACTTTGGACCTGTAGTGGTAAAAAAGAAGCTTTCAAGCGACAGTTTGTGGATCACACTTCTAAACAGCTTCGAGTGGTAGTCAGTTTGATCAGCGACGGGTGCAGTAAACGAGTGAAACGGTTAGTTTGGCTGCTATGAGATTTTTGAGGCGTCTTTAATGTGATTGTTGGTTAGATTTTTTTTAACCCACAAAGCCTTGTGGTTGGTTTTTGTTTGAATTCGTGCCTCTTGCCAATCAGATAAGGTGTCATGTTCTTGACAAATTAGGTCGCAAATCGTTCAAGAGTCGCGAATTTTCCCGCGGTTTACACCCGCTGTCTTGCCAATCAGACCAGGTGTCATGCTTTTGACCAATCAGGTTACAAACTGTTACACAACACAAATTTTACCGCGCTTTACGCTCGGTGCCAAACATTGATTTGCCTTAATTGATTTCTCCCACGTAGCAGCCCCATTTTAAGCCAAAAGGTGAGCAGAAGGTAAATTCACTTGACTTGAAACTGAATGTTGACACCGTGCCATTTAGTGAAAGGCTGGAAGTTTTGATTGGATGAACCAAGGGTAGTAACTTAACGATTCCAGAATCGTCCAGGGCTGTTTGATTTTGTACCCATTCGGTATGCTATTCTAAGCATTCAAAGCCTTAGGTGTCGTTACCTCTGTTATGCTATTACTTCTATCCCACGAAACCAATGCCATTTGGTATTAAAAGTGTTCATTCAATGGACTGTCAGCCTGACAACGGATTGATTCTGTAGAGGAACTTTTATACCTCAATTGCCTTTGGTTTAACTGAATATCACTTGCTGAATAATTCCTCATTCTTGTTTGTTATTTTGATCTTGTTATTAGGATTACTGCGTATTAATTCCTCTTGTGTAGAAAAAGTGGTGTTATCAACTTTAACTCAAATATTAGACCGACTCTCCACATGTTCATTCCTGTCTTAGCTATATAATCTTGTGACAGTGCGTGTGTCGGCTCGTTCGCTTTTGATGTCGCGGTATTTCAACGGTTTGGCGATAAGATACATAACAATGCCAAATACCCGATTACTTCAGATAAAGAAACATTTTATTTTATTTTATTTCAGGGAACTGACGTCAACCATCGCGACGCTTGAGTCTCTGGTTCAGAGAGAAATGGAAAATTTGGAAGAAAACATCATCAAACTGGATCAGGAAATAACAAGACTTGAGAAAATCAAAAACCATGCGAGAATATTAGGTAATTCTGTCCTACGTATTGGCAATTAATTAATGACAGCAGCTGTAGCAGAAACTGAGGTTTACGGAGGAAGGGGAAAAATCAACAGTGAAATGGGGTGGGGTGGGGTGGGGAAAATGATTTTCTTCTGAACCCAAATGTATCATTACCTCCCTCTTTACATTAGGTTGGCATTCCTTCTCGCCTAAGGGGACAAGGTGGCATGGAAAAGGGATTACCCACGGCTTTTTAAGCCAGAATTCTCGAGAAAGGATTTTGTGAAAATGATAGGAAGGGGGGGAGGGGGAGTGGAATTACCCTTTGCCCCTTCATAGACGACCATTTCATCCTAGGAAATACTTTTTTATCAAGGGGAAGGGGATAGTAGGGATTGGAGATTACCCCCTACCCCCCTTTACAGACAACCTCGTCATCCTCAGAAACGGGAGCATCGTTTGTAAACAGAAGCATAGGGAGTGTGCAGCATCAGAAGTTCTAAGTGAGCTCGCTTTCTGTCCTTAGGAACGAAGCAAGTCGGTTGGAAAGCGAACTGTCCCAATTCATCACCGAGTTTGGTTTGGAAAAGAGCAAGATTTGAAATGATGACTTCTTGAAGTCCTAAACCTTCTGAAAATATAGTGTGTAGAAGTATAAAGCATATTCTTTGATCCTCTGTTTAAATATGACGAGAAAAAGAAAGTCTTGATACCAACAACTTAACTTTTTTTGTTTGTATCACTTTTCTTATATTACAAGGATCAGGTAAAAAAATTTATTTTTGTCGGCTTGCCTGTATGAATATAAAAAAAAATGATGGATAAAAATTAATTTGTCTGTCCCCCTAAAAATGAAAATGTCCCCCGAAATTTTTGCTAAGAGGACAAATTGTCCCTCAGTGATCAGATTTTAGGATGGAAGTTCATAGCTTTGTGTAGTGGGTTATTCACTATAATGTATGCATTGAAGTGGGTACTTTGGACCTGTAGTGGTAAAAAGGAAGCTTTCAAGTTACAGTTTGTGGATTACGCCTCTAGAAAGCTTTAACTGGTAGTCAGTTTGATCAGCGACGGTTGCAGTAAACCAAACCGAGTTTGGTTGGGAAAAGAGCAAGATGTGAAAGGATGGCTTCTTGAAGTCCTAAACCTTCTGAAGATATAGTCTATAGCTTGCCTAACTATAAGTTTGATTATTCAATGAAGATTTATGCAGTCGAACAAAAGATTGTCATCGTTGAGAACCGCTTCATTGTTCTCGTGTAAATGATAAGGATCAAAAAGTATTTCATCGTGAAATTTGTGGGTCATTTAATAAAACCTGCAGTTAAGCGTTAACCCCGCGTTTGCATTAGCACTTGAGTTTTTAGAGGATATTTCTTGGTCGCCCTTTTCGTCGATTTTTTTCTTGTGCATAGGGTATTTAACATGGTTGTTTCCTTTTGCAAGGCTGGGCCAGTTCACATGGGTCCAAGGCAGCAATTTGTAGCTGCACAAAAAGAGGTCCTAGCTGTTTTATAGGCCAGTGGCGATGGTCCTGTTGATGTTCAATAATTCTAAAAAACCACTCTTAATTAACATTTATGGTCATTTGACCTCTTTCATTGTATCTTCTGTGGCTGACGACGTTGACGACGCCATTTTCCCGCACGTGCTATGCTCTGAGCCCACGGAAAAAGTCGCCAAAAAAAATTCACCAAAGAAAAGTCGCCAAAAAACAGTCGCGAAAGACAAGGGACTGTAAAAAAAAAACACGAAAAAAAAGGGGACTGTAAAAAAAGTCGCAAAAAAAAAAGCGACTGTAAAAAAGGGTGTTTTCTTTTCGCCCTTTCCATGATGGAAATACCCCGCGCAAAATTTGATTAAGTTCATAATTGTTGAGTCAGGTAAATATTAAGGTGAGAGAATTGATGCTAAATGGTTAGTTATTGGTCACCCTCGTTAAGCGCGTCAATCATTAAAGGGCTTCAGTGTTCTTCAGTGCCCTGGGGTGATTTTTTAACTATTCATTTTATTCAACAGTTAAAAGAAAGCGCGTGTACTTACAGGCTTTACAGTGTGTTTCAGTTTTCTTGTTCCCTGGGGGTGCTTTAACAATTCATCAAGCGCGTGCACTAACAGGCTTTACAGTGTACCTTCGCGCCTTCATGAAATTTACTTTGGAGTTCAAGGTTCGAGTATTATTGAATATGAACTATACCGAACGTGCATTCCAGAGAACGGTCGTGTTGTTGGAGAAAAGAAGGATTGCTGTAAATACAAAAGGTCAATGTCGAGTAAAGAAAACTAAGACAACGTTAGTACAAGAGATACGGTCGCCTTAGATAAAAGAGCTTGTTAGAAATGGAGGAATAATTGTGGATTTTAACGGAGTAAGGAAAAGTCTTTTCAATCATTAGTCTCGGAAATATCATCAGATATGATCAGTGATGTGGGGAAATTGTGGATTACAACAAGTAATAGTTTGGGCTTTCAGTTGTAATATGAATAGATAAATAAATCAATTATTTCCCAATAAAAATCATTTTCATTTATCATTTCAACTGCACAACAAAATCATACACATTCTTTCCAACCTCATTCTCCAACCTATTAAATTCCAAGAGTTATGTGAAAATTCAGTGGTCTGAAAAGACTCTTATTACATGCCAAACAACAAAGAAACAGAAGGGCTGATATTTAACAGTGAGGATAAAAAACAAAATATTTCCAAAAGCCTTTTTTCCGGGGAACAGGACTAAATGAGGTCAGATTAAACTGATGTGGTGAGGTTTGTTGATATTTCATGAAAACGGATTATTTACATCCACCATATGAGACAAATGAGACTTAAGTCAAAAGGAGATGTTAACATTGCATATTCTGCAGTAATGGACATTGGCTTCAATGCCTATTTGGGGAAATTTATAGTTTTCTAGCCAGGGGTTTGGCTGTGCCAATTTTAAGGCAGACAAATCATATATCAGTCACTTAGAAATTTTATAGCTCTCACTGGAAGCTCAGCACTCTTAAGGAACATGACAATATTTCACCTGATCACTCTTTATATTTTTTTCCAATAAAATTTGGACAAAACTTTTAAAAACTTTATTGGTAATTTTATAATTGTGAATATGGTATAGACACAAGTTGCTTATAGCATAAGCTAGTGGAGGCAAGTTGCAAGGAGAGGACAAAAGATTGATCATTTATACTAGTAGTAAGCTTCTGGTACTAGGTAATTGCATTCTCTTGAATACCACCTAGGCACATTGAATGTCTCACCTATCCATTCTGTCAGTATATGTAGTGCGGTCACGTCACATCTCCCTAAACAGCAGAGAACATAAAAGTTAATTCCTATCATCAGTCTCAATTAAGAAATAAAAATTGAAGGATCGCAACATTTCTGGCAAAGTGAAATGTAAGTCATTACATTATTTGAAGACATTTGAACGTGAAATTCGTTTTTAAATATGACAGAAATACTGAAGTTTACATTCTAAAGAAACAAGGAGTTCCAGCCCCCTGAGTAATTATCCATTTGTTGTATCAGTTGTCTCATATTTTAAGAACCAGAGAAAGTTTGAAATTTTGATCTGCGAGTTTCATAGTACACTTCGACTCAAAATTCATTTCTTATGGCAGAAGTATTCTACTGAAACAAACAAGACAGAATGAAGCTGAAGCCATTCGTTTCGAATAACACATGAACATGATGAAAACGGCACCAGCTTAAACTCATGAAACAAAGACCACGCATTTTTTTGAGGTAAATGAACTGGTTAGACCGAAAGCTAAATAAATAAACAATAAACTGACAGTGGTGAGGGATTTGGGGGCCATGTGATAATCAGGTTCTACCGAAGTTTATTCTCTAGTTAGCACTTCAAGCCCAAAAAGGCAATTGGAAAAATTCCTACCAAAACACAACAACAAAATAAGATAAAACCAGAGATGATTGAGGCAAGACTATAACCGTTGTTTAGACACATGCCTACATACCAAGTACGACAGACTTGCATAGCAAAAAGGCCAAAGACAGTTGTGAGCCATGACTTGGAAAATCCATCTCAACCCCTGAAAAACAAGTTCTCCGAAGGTTGTAGTAAAAGCGACTCAATCCTGAAGCTGGAACATTTTTCAAAGCCTTGTGTTCTATGTGACTATATAGAGAAAGAAGAGACGATGTTATCTGAAGTGATTTGAAGCGTGGGGGCCACCTCGAACTTAACGCAATTTTATTTCAAAGTTGAAGTAAAATAAGATCAAATTCTAAACTACCTTCTATTATCGTGACGAATATCTCACGATCGTCTCCACATACAACTTCGTGATTCACAGGAGTAAGACACCAACATCTTAAGACTAACCTTCAAGGTTTGTTGCCTCGCGTGCACATCTTGATCGTTAGTAAATCAAATCTCAAACTTCAAGTTTTCGGCCTTTTTTCGCGTTTTGTTCGCACTTTGATCATTAAAATATCCTCATCCGAAGAGCCAGCAAACTCCACGAGTATCCACAGAGTTAGAAATGGTGGTAAACTAGTCATACGCTTTCATCCCTCTCCAAAAAAATATTACAAAAAGGTGTCGATCGCCCACTTGAAAACCCACGGAAGGGCACTGAAAATTTCAAATTGACGCCGAACGCGCAGAACAAATTTTATAGGCGCATGCGCTGACGAAATGCCCCTCTGCTCCACCAGGCAGGAACACGAGAGCGATCTTTACGAGTATACCTGCGCTGCAGGCGGTGTGCGCACTCTGATTTCGTTGCATCATGGTCGTAACACGAAAGCGAGTCATTAGCATCCTGTTGCGGTCAAGTGAACATCTCTGGTGGCAGCAAGATAGCGCGAATAAACGCGGAATGTAATGGGGATTCACTGTCTGTTGCCATTCCCTCGAAAGTTAAAAAGTGTTGGTAGGCCTGCGCGACTCCTGTTATTCCTCCGCGACAAATTCGTTGTTAGGAGGCAACTGAAGAGATTCAGAAAGAATCGAAACTGCAGCCTTGCCCAAGAATCTACTCATTTGGCAGCAGTTACACTCACAGCCGATGGCTGTGTGAATAATATCAAATTCGCGAGTTATTTAACAGGGAATCAACCCTTGACATGCAAACTCATTACAAAGAGACAGCTACCTTCTTATACACCTATTATTTTTCATGTCATACACTTAAAGGTGTAAATACGGGATTCGCAAAAGGAGAAGCGTTACGCCCTCTAAGACCAAATTCGTCACGCTCAACGTTTAATTAAAAAACATACAGATTTTCAAATATGCTTAAAAAAGAATAGAGAATACTTAGAATAAGTTTTTGATAACCATATCTCTGGAGTTATCTTCTGCAAGAGAGACAGTATACTTGAAAACAAAGAAAATAGCGCGCACACGTGAAAATATTAACTTTTGTAACACAATCTCATTTGGCTTTTCCAAACCTCAAGAACATACAGACAGGGAAATTACCCCTTAAAACTAACCCTTACTATCACATCGCAAAGGAAAGTCATTAAACGATATCTTAATAACAGCTAAGTTTTCAGGTCAGAAGATTTAAAAGCGCAAGCGAATGGCAAGAGTCTCACAAGCCTATCAACACCTTTTCACGATCGACTGCATTTTGCTTTCCGGCTTACCCGACGTGTCGCCGTGTGCATTTTAGAGTTATTCAGTGGTCAAGTGACTTCTTTCATTGCTCTAATTCAACTGTCCTTCATTCAATGATCAAGATAGTAGATTTATCATACAACACTCGCGATTAGTAAATTTTCTTTTACTTAGGAAAGTAGATTTACGACACAAGTGAGTATACAATAATAACGCTGTGTAACGCAACAATAGGCCTTTTCTTGCTCATAATCGGTCTCAAACACTAGCACTTCAAATGCGTTAAACAAATGTACCGTTGGAGAGTGTTTGAGAGCGTTTGGTCAGAGCTGTTGAAGAAGGATGAAAGCGGCCATCCAAATCTTTGAAAGGCTCCAAACTACGACGTACATCAAATTTGACCTTCTCGAAAACTGGTCTCAAATTACATACTAAAAAAACAGTGATTGCGTTTGTCCTTGAGAACCAAAGAATACGCGACAAATACGTAAAAAAATACTTTTACACATTAAGAATAAATCAGGTTATATTTATCTCGGGTGAAAGGAAAAAGGAGCGGTGTAACTTATACGGAATGTTCAGTCAAAATCTGCCGATTTCTGACGCTTTCATCGCCATATTGAAGATGAAGCTACCACAATGCAACGCAATCGGAGTGCGCACACCGCCTGCCTGCGCTGTGTATAGATAGTCGAATGAATGAGCTGCCAGTAATTGGATCCTTGTGTTTACGCACAGATTTCTGGGATCGCCACGGGGCAAACATTGCAACTCACTAGAAGAAAATGTATGGCGAAAGGTTGTTCCGACGTCCAGATAAACGATTTAAGCGAGAGATTTTCGCTTTTTCGCGGCTCTTTCATCAGAAATTGATTCGGGTAATGCTGATACAAAGGAAGGCGTAAGTTTTTGTTTGAAAAACCATGTAATATGTAGTAAAATCTACCGATTAACTTGTCTCCATGCC